ATGGGGGCAACCAGGAAGGGATGGGGGCAATAGGATGGGGATGGGGGCAACCAGGAGGGGATGGGAGCAACTGGGGGGGGGACAGGGATGGGGACAAGGAGAGGATGGGGACAATCAGATGGGAATAGGGACAACCAGGACGGGACAACCAGGAGAAGTTGGAGACATCCAGAATGTGACTGGGATGGGGATGAAAGGGGGGTGGGGGGGCAGGGATAACCAGGTGGGAATGGGGTCAACCAGGAGGGGATGGGGACAATCAGAGGGGGACAGACATGGGGACAAAGAGAGGATGAGGATGGGGACATCTGGGGGGGACAGGGACCCCCAGAGGGAGACAGAGACAGGATGGGGACACCCAGAGGGGAACAGGGACCCCCAGAAAGGGAGAGGGATGGGGTTGGACAGAGACCCCCCAAATGTAGACAGGGATGGGGACAGGGATGGGATGGGGACACCCAGGGGGGGACAGGGACCCCCAGAGAGGGAGAGGGATGGGGACAGGGACCCTCAAGGGGGGACAGAGACCCCCAGAAAGGAACTGGAAAGGGGTCACAAGTGGGGGGACAGCGAACCCCAGAGGGGGACAGGGATGGGATGAGGGGCACCCAGGGGGAGACAGAGACCCCCCAGAAGGGAATAGGGATGGGGACCCCCAGAAGGGGGACAGCCCCCCCCCCGTCCCACCCCCCAGACTGGGACAGAGGATACACCCAGTCAAGCTGCAGGCGCTCGGGGGGCAGCTCGGCACGGAAGCCCACGTGGCCCGAAGGGACGTACATGGTGATGGGGCGGCCCCGAAGGAACATCTTCACTGAGACCCCCTCTGTGGGGCAGGGAAAGGGGGGGGCAGGGGGGGGTCACCCCACAGCCCAATCCCATAGATTGGGGGGGGTGGGGGTCACCCCACAGCCCGGCCCCGTAGATTTTGGGGGGGAGGCACATCAGTGACTGGCCCCATAGGTTGGGGGGAGGGGTCACCCCAATCTTGACCCCATAGACTGGGCGGGGGGGGTTACCACACAGCCTGACCCCCCCGTAGATTAGGGGG